TGGCACAGATTTAAGTTGCATCTTTTGGAGTTCTGTGATTAGTTGTTGGTTCTTTGGTCGTTCAGTCAACGGCACAACCAAAACACAGGGGGTTCAAGATGTTCAGGAGGGCCGGAGTAAGTTTCAGGGCCAAGCTTAGACTCCCACATCCTGTCCTTTTACACCCCCTCCCTTTGGAGTGCTTCTAAAAGCAGTCATTGCATGGGTTTGTGTTCTTTGTTGATGCTGTTTTCACATTTTTTTTGGTCCTTTGTAACTCCTGCTCCCTCTCTCTTTCTCTGGGGAGAGACTCTTTGGTACAAGAGATTAGAGCGGGTGCTGCCTAGCAACTGAATAAAAATGGCAGCTACAAAGGGGGCTCTCTCACTCTCCAACGTCTGACCTACATAATCCCAAGCCTCTGATCGTGCAACATAACAACATGATGAAAGGCCTGCTGTGATTTAACGCTCAAACAAATACTTGCCATCACTGACCCCTTGGCTCAAAGAGCAATCTCGCCTGCCGCAGAGCACCAAAGGGTGACTTCGGAAATCTTGACGGTGCCTAATTAGAAAGGAAGAAGAGGCTGTGAACACTACTGGAAATGAGATGAATGTGTTTGAGGAGATGGTTGCAGAGTGGCAAAGGAGATTAACAGTGATCACAGCAATGCTGTTGGCTTCAGAGAGCGAGCGCGAGCGGCGGAACCTCCCTCTGTTCACTGATTCATCTCTCCTTCAGCCACAGGCAGACGCAGCGCAGGAATGAGTACAGAGGGATGAGAGAGCTTTACTTCTCTGTCTTCTGCTTATTGATCAAAGAACATGAAAACAAAACACTGGAAAAAAGAAGATACAGCTAAAAGCAGGAAACTTTTTTCTGGAAACTTTCTCCTCCTGCGCTGTGTTCTTAATATAGTCTGGCCATAACTCTTCCATGATACCTCTATGTTCTTTAGCATTCACTGATTCATTTGATCTGCATGGTTCACAGCAGATTGCATTCATTTGACAGGTGTGTTTTCTGAAGCCCTGCGAGAACGACAGGTGAATGACATCAAACATTCTGAGTGCATCTATTCTTGATAAACAACCAACAAAGGTGACAGGAGGACGTATCCATTTATTCTGATATATGGGTTGTGTGGCGCTGATGTCCTGATATGATGATGATGTAATGAAATCTGAAATCTTTGCTACAACTATATGAACATTATAACTCGTTCACTTTTACTATCTTTGTTGTGGAAACATCAGCCTCCTGAGCTCATTTCTTATGCATTCTAATCTGAAGTTATATGCATCATTTTTAATAGCAAGGCCTTTGTTGTTGTTTGGGAAGAGATATCCCTGCACTTTCATCTTCCTTTAACCCCATAAAAGGTATCTGATTTCCCAGAAGGAGTCCTTATTCAGCATTTGGCTTGTGGAGGGTCCACAGTTATATCTATGTAAATACTGTATGGCTATATCTCAGATTCATTCAATTTAATTTGTTAATTTAAGTTCAAATTGTGCTTTGGGTCCTGTATTTTGAAATTAAAAGTTGAATTGAAACCGAAAAGTACGGTCCTTCAGGTCAGATGAAGTAACTTCAAGTAGACCCTTAATTTCCGTATGCAGCAGTTTGCCTTTATCATCCAGTCTGGCTTAAAACTGTACAAAAAATTGATGTTTTCTTCCTTTAACAGTTGGAATAATTCAAACCCAAGAAAGAACTTTAACAACATCCAGAGAGAACATGAAGTGAGATCGGATTGATTTCAATAGTAGATAGACTTCTGTTGATTAGATAACAACATAATGTATTGAATAGAATAAACTGAATGTATGTCTCCCTCTGCAGTTCTTCTGAAATGAAAAAAAAAAGACACTGAACAACACAGAGATCCTCTGTGCTCTCAAACAGACTTCTAATCTCTCTCTGCTTGCGTGCTTTCATTTCACAGGCGTGTTAGATGCTGCAGAAATATCTCAGCTGCTGCTTCTCCTCACGCACAAACTGAATCCTCATTTCAACCAAAAAAAAACTCACCAAATACTCAAACTGGCCTGTGCAGGTTTTTTTTTACCTCCCCATGTAAATGTTTATGTCTGCGTAGCGATGTGAGTCAGCATGCGTCTGTGCTATTGTGTGTGTGTGTGTGTGTGTGTGTGTGTGTGATCTTGTATGTGTTTGAGGAGCAGCAGCAGCGTACTGTGTGTCTGATTGGGGTCTGGTTGCGAGGAGTGGCGAGCTGTGTGAACTCTGGTGCTCTCTGACTGCCGCATTTTCATGGAAAGCATCTCTTTGGGGGCCCTGCAGGTTTTCAATGCGCTCATTTACACATCAAAACAGCACAGGAAAGGGATAGTGCTCAAGGGGGAGAGGGACTGCAGAAGGGAGGGAGGGCAGCGTAATGAAGGATGCTTTATTTTCTCTTTTCCCCCCTCAGGGGTGGGCAGAGGTTTAGGTCTATGAGGGAGGCACATTGATGCCATAATGATCGCCTTTAATCAGAGCCACAACCAGATGGAGGGATTTCTCCTCAGCAGACAAAAACATGGAGTCAGCAGCTAAAGCGGGATAACCTCTGAGGTGTTTTTACACCTTTTCATAGAAAACAAATTGTGCAAATCCTGAGTAAACAGACCGGCTTTGTGTTGAATAAGAGTCAATGAATACACTTTAAGGCGCACAGTCCACACAATGAAATATTGCTGAGAAGCCAAAAGAAAAAAGTGTTGCCTTTTGAGGGAGTAGGCTCACTTTTGGCCTAGACAAAGTCAGTCAGCGACTAACTCTGACACTATTTAACCTCCTGAGCCAGCAGAGAAGAAAAACAGAGTGGAGACCCAGCCAAGCTAAATCTTTCGAGCGAGGTCGAGCTTACTAACTCCTGAAACTGCAACTTACTGGAAGACGGGGTGGGGTCTTCTTCAGAGAAAGCCCGGTGTCAATTGGCTGCTTCTTCAGACCTCAGGTGTGTGTGCGTGTATGTGTGAAGGGAAGGTGTTCCCGCCAGCCACATCTCTGGCGCCAAAGGAACCACAGCTCAAACAAACTCTGATTTTTGGAATGAGTCTTTCTTTCTGCCTCTATATCTGAAGCTGTGTGAGCTGTGTGTTATTCCTTTCCTCTGCAAAAAAGAGAGGAGCTAAAAATAGCTGCCAGTGACCTGGAAATGTAGTGATAGAATTCTTACTTTTGGAAAAAAAAGAAGCAGAGCAAAAGACGCCCTGTTGCTGCTATAATAAGTCATTTCTGTACACCTTCATATTTTTAAAACCTGTCTTAGCCACATTTGGCAATACATGGAAAAAAACAAGAAATGCATAAAGGGCAGGAAAATGGAAAACATAACTGCTGAGAAGGGAAATTAAAGTTTAAACAAAGCATTGCCCTCTATATAACCTCCATGTATTTTACCCTATGTGGCTCCCTCCTTCCTATCTAATCAGCTCAGGTGGGACAGGCTGGTCTGTGTCTCACACAGCAAGTGTTTGGCCTCACTGGGTCATGTCACTGGTGTGTAAACTGGGGAGGAAGCACGCGCCCCTGATCAGATCAGACCCATGAACTGGAACATGTGGCAGAAACACCAGCGGCCAGCGCGCTCCAAGAAAAACAGCCCTATTTAATAGTTAAATGCGATCCACACAGTGTCAGAGTCCAGGAGTCGCTGCGCTCGCCTGCCAAGCCATGGACAAGGTCTACAATGGCTGTATAATGAAAACAAAAAGGGGAGGATGTTGGTAGTTAACACACATCTCGTTCTGCGGGAGGAAGGAATCTGTAATTGAAGTTAACTGAAGCGTTGCACAGATCCCCACATGCACAGGGTAGAAATGTGGTTAATCCACTACATGTTTGATTACTGCTGTTACGTGTTTAGTAAATGAACACCAGAATCATGTGAAACAAGCCGGAGAACATTATCGTATTACAACTGTAGCTGGGATTACAAATGGGGGGAAAAAATAAAGAAAACAAAACAACTTTTAACATCTGGAGATGTCTGCGAGCACACGCCTGCCTCACTGCCGAGACTCAGTAATGTAATGAAAACAAGCTCCTGGTCATCACATTTTTTCCATGCTATCACTCCCATGTGCTGCTGCTGCTGCAGAAGGTGACCCAGCACACAATAACACAAGCATACACAATCAATCCTACTGCTGTCAAACACTCATTTCCACCATGTTGGGCTTCAATGTGCGAGTGCACTTTAATTGCAAAGTCCTGTAACATCCAAGATATTTATTTTCACATTTTTATGAACCACCTTGTGCATCATGAAATGGACTTTATTAGTGAAATTTTAGTTGCATAATAGTAATTTTGTTTTTTATATGGCAGTGCAATCAAATTCAAACATTTAACCATGTAAAGTGGTTCTTTTGCTTATCCTGTCATTTATATCAGAAATGCAGCTTCCAGCATCAACAAACCACAAATTTAAATAAGAAGATAATAATCCTTCTACTCAATGAACAACCACAGCTTTGAGTGCCTGTGCTTAACTTAAATCTGCCAATGAAGCCATGCAATAAGGCTGAAATCCACTTCAGATTTCGTCCTCTCAGATCAAAGTGCTGAGTGTTTGCCCAGGGATCAAATGGAGCTGCGAGAGAGGGCAACAACAGTGATTCTGCAGAGGGATTAAAACGGTCATTAATTAAATATATTCCTCCGCAAACTGCTCCTGCATTTTTAAGACGATGATGCAAACATTAAGGCTTGCTAGGATCATCACTCTATTCATCAGCTATTCTCTTTGAGGATTATTGTCAGGGACGCCTCTGGGATGTGAAGCATGCTCTTGGAAGACAACACATTTGGAGGGGAGTCCCACTTAAAAAAAAACCCGCCTGATGTCCTAGGAGAAGAATGACAGGAAAAATCAGGGGAACAAAAACAAAATGAGAACTAGTTTGGATTTGAAACTGTTTAAGGTCAATTATTCATCATGAGCTTCTCTGAGACAGACAACAAAATGACGACATTAACACAAGATTGCTGAACATGAATTCCACAAATTTATTTTCCTCAAAAAAAAAAAAAAAAAAGCCAGAACCAGAATTCTTATAAAAGGCACTTAAATTTCCCTTTACCTTCAATAAATGCATCTAAACAACAAATCTGATAAGGTGACCTTTAAATTAAATATATTTACAATAAATAAAACATTTATACACATTTTTACAAATCCATGCCACTTTATAGCAGGAGAAAAAACTCAAATTTCCCAAAGATACCACCCATAACAGTCTTTTTTTTTTGCTTTGAAACACTGGGCACTTCTACTGCACAGACGACTATGTAACAGACAAAATATAGGTTACAATACTGAGCATTTCCCTTTATGCATTGAATACTGTTTATAGATAGTTTCTCATAGTTACGCGTCCCTTGGCAGCAGCACAGCAGTACCTGATAGTTCATTTCATCTGCTCATTTTCTCACAAAGTCTTCAGCAGCTCCTTTCTCAGGTCGTGTGTGTGTTTGCATTTGGCAGTGTGTATGTTTATGTCCGTGTGTCACGCTCTGTCTCAGACATGTGTGGGGTTGTCTGAGTGCAGGTCAGTCTTGGCCATGTGCAGAACCACAGCGGGGGATTTGTAGTGGCAGTGTGTGCTGCCGCAGCTGACGCCACTGCATGGCTTTCTGCTCCTAGTCCTGTCTGCGAGCTTCCTGCTGCACAGGCCCTGCCAGGTCTGCAGGGTCTTAGAGCTCCACACCCACACCCCACTGGTGATGCCCACTACCAGCGACATGAAGATCTTCAGCATGAAAACGGCCACGGTCGGCACGGAAGCCTGCAGCGAGCAGTCCCCGCTGAGGCCGTTGAACGAGCCGCACTTCATCTGCAGCCCCCTCAGCTTCCAGTAGTCCATGTTGAGCCGCTCGTAGAAGTAGCAGACGATGACACAGGTGGCTGGCACCGTGTAGAGGATGGAGTAGATGCCGATTTTCACCATGAGCTTCTCCAGCTTCTCTGTGTTGGTGCCCTCGGTCTTCATCACTTTGCGGATGTGGAAGAGAGCCACAAAGCCGGTGAGGATGAAGGAGGTGCCGATGATCAGGTAGCAGGACAGAGGGATGAGGACAAAGCCGGTGAGCGCCCCAGAGTCCATGCTGCCCACATAGCATAGCCCCGTCAGCTCATCCCCTGCCACCTTCCTCATCGTGAGGATGACAATGGTCTTCAGAGCGGGGATGCCCCAAGCCGCCATGTGGAAGTAGTTGCTGTGGGCTTCGATAGCCTCATGGCCCCATTTCTTCCCCGCAGCCAGGAACCAGGTGAGGGTGAGGATGACCCACCAGATAGAAGAGGCCATGCCGAAGTAGTAGAGGATGAGGAAGACGATGGTGCAGCCAGTTGACTCCAGTCCCTCCTGGATGATGTAGAGCTCGCCATGCTCCCTGTCACAGGCGATGTTCTCAGCTCCAGCCACGGATCGGATGACAAAGGCCACAGAATACACATTGTAGCACATAGAGAGGAAGATGATGGGGCGTTCAGGGTACTGGAAGCGGTGAGGCTCCAGGAGGAAGGTGAGGACAGTGAAGGCAGTGGAGATGAAGCACAGGATCGACCATACAGTCATCCATATGAAGGCGAAGTCTTTGTCTTGCCTGGACCAGAACACGTCGACAGCAGGGGAGCACCGAGGCGCACAGGACTGGCTCTTCTCCACAAACTGGAACTTGTCTGGGTTCTCGCAGGTGCCCACACTTCCCGGGGAGCGCCCGCTACTGGTGCCTGGCTGCCTGGGCCGAGGGGGCACAGGAAGCATGCCCTCACCTTTCTTGCCCTCCGTCCTGGTTTCATTCTCGGGGGCCTCCATGCACAGAGCGTTGGGGTCGTTCCTCGTGGGCAGCTTGGAGCAGTCAAGCGAGTCGGGCCAGGTGTAGCTGAACTTCTTCATGATGGGGGCACACCTCTCCCTGGCCTGCTCACACATGGGTCTGCATGCGGGGATGGAGGTCGACACTTTGTCCGTGCACATGGGGGCGTAGAGGGAGCAGAGGAAGAAGCGGAGGTGCACATCACAGCCGTAAGCCACCAGAGGAGCAAACTCGTTCAGCTTGATAGCGGCTTCCTTCTGGTCGTCGTGGTCCATGAAGTTGGGCATCCGGGTCAGGTTGTAGCCGATCCCCTGGCACATGGGGATCACGATGGCCTCGCACTTCGCTGGTCTGCCTCGCTCCAGGTCGTAGGAGCCTATCTCAAAGCTGGAGCCAGAAATCACTAGTGTGCACCACAGAAAAATCGCCACCTTCAGCGGACAACCATCCATGCTCATAGCTGAAGTAAAAAACTGAGCCGAGTCTTTTAAAAAGGCGCATGAAAGAGTCGCAATACGGGGGTCGGTTTGAGAGAGCCCCGCTATTTCCCCATGGCGAAAGCAGGTCTAGTGGCTGCCAATACCGATAGCTGCGGGCTACGTTATAATAACAGTCTAAAAACAGCCCAACACCAAGTGTAGCTCAGTGTTTAATTGTAAAGTCTTACATGAAAACGATAAATCCCACATATGTGACAGAAAAGTGTCCGTAACTAAGACGTGACAGTCGAAAACTTCGACCAACAGTGGAGGGAAAAAAATCATCAAAATCACACACCGAGAGCTGAGCTTAAATCCTCAAAGCGACCGTCAGCAGCTGCGCGTAAAAAGAAGATAATTCAAAACGCCGTTTAGCTGCGACTCTTGTCTGTCTGTCGGCTCTTGCTCTTCGTCCTCCGCTTTCAGGCTCGACACTGACTTGAAGTTTGAGAGCCGCTCAGTGGGACTCCAGTCAGGGGGGGGGAGACGGGGGGGGGGGGGGGGGGGAGGAGGAGGAGGAGGAGGGGGTGGGCGCTCCGTGACGCTCACGTTTCAGCCAGCAGCACCACACAAGGAAAATTATCAGACAGATGCTGGGGGACGGTCAAATACCGCTGACATTATGGCTTTGAAGGGCATTAAGACTATTAGCAAGAGTAAATCAATACGAAATACAAATCTACAAGTAAAAGTGCTGCATTCAATCATACAATCTTTTAAAACCTGACAAAAAACGGAAATTTGGCCATCATCCTAAACTTTTTCTCATTTTTTTTTTCTTTTCAGTGTAGGCTTACTTACATATAGCCTAGTATATATAGCCTACTTGGGCTTTACTCTAATACTACAAAAAGATAAAATATAGCCCAAGTTACTTTATTATAGGCTTCCCAATAAACATGGCTTTAAATAGGGTGCAGAACAGATCGGTAGGACAATATTAAATGAGCTTTGTGTAGTACTTTGATAACAAGACTCCTTCCTTTATTAAGCCTATTTGAAGTTTCTTCAAGCGCACCTCCAGTGCAGTAGGTTTTTTCATTTTCACACTTCGCTCTTAAAAAATTGATTAATAAATATTTGATATTGGTGCATTATTCTCACAGCTGCATTAACATAAGCAACATTTGAGACTTGTATCTAACTAGTTAAGATGTAATGTTTTATACTTAAGAGGGAAAATAGTAACGAAGTAAAGTATTCTGCTAATGAGTTAACATTTAAGCAGCATTTTTTACCGGTATAGTATGCAAATAAGTAGTTTGATTTAATGACTTGTAATCCATATAGACTCAGTACATTTTAAACAAGTCAAGTACATATTAAAAAGCACTATTATTGTCACTGAAATGCAGCAAAAAGTGGTACATCAACATCTGCAGAATGAAATTATTATAATCCCCAGAATTATGGAAACTGCTGAAGAAATTTAAAAATGTCCCCTCTGAATTCCTATTAAGAAATCTGCCTCCACTGCTGTGAGTCAAACACTCAATAGTTTATTTTCCCAGAGCATTAGAAAAAGCCCGCTCCTCTTGTAAAATGATAGTCCCTGTGGCGTTTTACTGTTGCTGACTCATAATTACTCTGTCACCATTTTCTGCTAATGTTTTCATGTAGTATAATGTGAAACTTTATTGAGCCCGGCAGGTCAGTTCTCGTCTGTTAAACAAAGCTGGTGTGCGGTTCGCTGTTTTGCTTATAGCAGTTCAGTGAGGGTGATTGCTTCAAGGGTGGACTGGTTTAAAGGATGGCTTTTGTTAAAACAAAAATATGCATGTACAGTCAAAGCAGGAGGATTTGAATGGATATGATGGAGAAAGACAAACAAAATCAGACATAACATGCTGCAAATGAGATTGTGTGGAGTAGAGGGCTATTGTTTCCATCTAGTGGCTGAATGGGGAGAGTCTGCAGCTCCACAGCTGTTGCACTGAGCATTTGATCTTTTCTCAAACAGGGGAGGAACTCAAGGATTTTGGCCTCTCGCCCTGCAGGACTGAATTGACTGTCAACTGCATACTGTCTCTATTAGCCCCTGTGATGAAACACTATTGAAGGCAGTTTTACACTTAGGCCCTTCTGCTGCTGACTGAGAAATAAAGCATAATGCTATCTTCCACTTTTAAAAGCTAGCCAATAGGCTGCTAAATCAAGCTGTACATACATAGTGTACATGTATGAATCTGGTATCAACAAAAAATATTTTTATTCGAATAGGTTAAGACTTCTTAAGAAGTCGGTATCCTGCAATATTTTCATCTTGTCCAATGAGGTGTAAAATACTTATGCCTAAATACTGCACTTTGTGTTATCGGGCTATACATTTACCTCAGCCTTATGAAAGGAAATCTTTCCTAGCTCTTTCTTGATGACAAATTGAGCCAGATGAAGGTGGAGTATGCTGCAGTGCTTTATCAGATTTGGCTTCAGGTAGAAAAAAAAAATCCTTAAACTTCAAATTAAGCCTGATCGAGCAGGGGAGGAAATACATTCCAGACTCTAAGATGATATCTTAATGTACGTCAATGCTCCAGCTTTTGCTGAATAAAATAGAAATGCTTTGACTGAAGTTCCATTACTGCTAAGCAGCCTTTCCACTAAAACGTTTTCTTGTTCTCACTTCAAAGACGAGGGGTCATTGGAGAGGGTCTGGTGAAGACTGAGTGTGCCCTTAGAAGGCCAAAGATTAGAATCACACAGGCATCGTTCCCCAAGGCAAGCAGCACATATCAGAAAGCATAAGTACCCAAGTCAAAAGCAACGCTTGATCAAGTATTGACCCACACAGCAGCTTGGTTTGTCTTCGAACTTGACCCTCATTTTGTATCAGTGAGGGTTGAACCAAAATCAGTGGCCATCATACAGCAAACATATTGATGGTTATATTAAGATTTGTATTGTTTTTTAAACCTCAGTATCAAAACAAAAATTAAGTTACACAATGATTTATCTTGTGAACCGCTGATGATGCATCATTCCAAGGTAAAATCACAAGCAGCATGCCTTTAAGTGTCACTTTTGCATTTACCAATACCTATTTGTAACGGTGAAAGGTAACAGGTGCTGTTAACGTTGCCTTTATGTTCAATAATAAAGTAAAATGATAAGAAAATTAAGCCCAATGAAACTTTTATAAATATCAATATTTATTCAGTAAGTCTTGTACAGACCATCCTGGCAGTAAGCTATCCCTGATTTCTTTCTTGGTATCCTGGTGACCTCTTGTTGATGGCATGGCACTGGTGTAAACTAGGCCTATAACTAACTGATTTCACATTATGCAACACTTACTGCCTATTGCCATAGATACAGCTAGATAAAACTGAGAGATCTTAGATTTAGTTAGTTCCTATATCTCCATAGCAACCAGCATCACTTTTTTTGAGTTACTTTTGAAATTGCAGCATAGGGCCAAGAAAGCCTAACTCATTAAAACTGTACATTTTGTAAATTTGTCTACCTTTGTCAGAACTAGCCCAGCTCTTTTCCCTTGTTTCCACATGCTAACTTAAGCTAAGCCTTGCTTAGCTATAGACACGGTTGGTATGGATTTTGTCATCTCTTGGTAAAAAAATGAAATCAGCATAGCTTCCAAACTATTCTTAAAATATTTTAATATCACAACAGTAACCGTCTCTAATTACTGGTTACGTTGAATTTGGTGATTTCAGATTCTCCAACCAGTTAAGGAGACACACTGTCTGACCACACAACCGATCTGTGTCCTGGGCCCTACATTAGGTTACTATTGTGCTTTCTGTGTGTTTTTATTTCTCCTAATTGTGTTATTTCTTCTGGACTTGAGTGGAAAGTGAGGAAATAATAGAAAATATGTGCAGCTGCATTTAGATTCTTAACATTTGCTGGTTTGCAGCGGATTTGTTTTAAGAGGGTCAATGGTATTTACTTTGCCATTTGGAGGAGGAAATGGATAGGCTAAATGCTATTTATTTCTCCCCCTGCTAGCTTTCCCCCGCTCATGACACTGCTGTATGTCAAACCTCTGCATGTCTTTGTAATAACTAGCCTCCGCAAAGAACCCCCCCATCTTTTATTTCACACATTCTTCAGGCGATCCGCTGGAGTGTGGGCCTTGTAATTACTACCTCTTTCTTATTGGTTATCATATATCAGGCACAAAGCTATAAACATCCCGTGGAGAACAATGGGAGAGCCTTGCCACAGCCCGGCATGACATTACTATCCTGTCTGAGATTGTTATGGCTGTAATAAGAGACACCTCAAATTTAAAGCAGTACATCTGGACCAGTGTTCTGCCTTTGACAGCGAGTATAATGGCAAACTGTTGAGGCTTGGATCATGTAATTATCTCTTTGTTCATATTGTGTAGTAATTTGTACCAGAGGAGTGAGCAGACACCGGAGACGAGTGAAAGTTAACATCAGTTTGGATTTGTAGTTTTCTTGTTTTATCATCATGACTAAAGAGTTATGATGTCTCTTCAAGCGACATTTTTCATGATTCAAAGTTGTTATTTTTCTGTAATGAGAGGACAGTGTGCACAAAATGTCTAAGTTTCACTGTTATGCAATTTTATGTAGCGCTATTAGGTGACTGAGTGAAAGGGTCTGATTCACCGCCTTTTATACATCTGTGTTCCTCATACTTCCCTGTTTTGAACAAGGTAATGTCCTTTGCAGCCGGTGGCAGGTAGCGGGAATAATGCTGCTGTCATATCCTGAAAATGTCACCAGATCTGTAGCTAAATAATTTAATCATTTGGTTGTTTTTAACACCTGAAGGTTTCAACATGTTTCTTTTGAAACATTTACAAACATCCTTTCAAACCTGCAGCCATAATCACACAGACCTTTTTTAGTTGTTAGATAAAGTACACTTTAAAATGCTGTTATAATTATATGATCACTTGATTTATAATGGCGCTGGTCATGACTTCATATTGCAATACAAGCGGAAATGAAGGAGCCACACACAGCTGGAAAATAAATCTACGCAATTGTGAATGGTGCTGAGATGGGGTATAAAGACAAAACAAACTGAACTTTTTTACTGCTTTTTGAGAAGTTGTCAGATTTTAAACTGGTGGTGGTCTTCATTGTAAAATATTAGTTTGGTGCAGTTATAACTGGTTTCTGAAGCTCCAAACAGTGCAGTGTAAACCTGCCATTAATGTATACAGCGTATGGTGAATTGCATAAACACGTTATACAAATAAGGTAATTTAAGTTACTGCTTCCTGCAGCTGTGTGAACTTAACATCCATCCTATAATGGTATATTTAGAAAACTGGCATTCAACACTTCAGTGTGGAATACATACAATATAAACGTATAGTGGAGGCAAAGCTGGTGGAATTCAGAAGTTATCTGCTACCAGATGGCTAAGGCAACATTTTAGCAGCTCTCTTTAAGGACAGTAGTTACTTGATAATCAAAAGGTTTCAACATTTTCCC